CCGACAGCCAAGTACGAATTTTATAAAAAAAAAAAAATTTTAAAAAATTGGGAGCATTTACAGGATTCGTCTTCTCTATTCCGCACAACAGCGACCAACTTGTTGGCATCATGGGGCGAGGACGACGGGATCGTCCTTGTGAGCCGTGCTACAAGCTCATTTCCTGTTGTCTGGGGGAGAACCCAACTGCCGAGGCGCATCGTCAAAATGAAGGTTTGAATGGTGTGACATCGGATACTACTACGAAAGGCTTGAAAGGTATTCATTGATTCAATGCCGGCGACGACGCATTCGTTGAGACGGCGATGTAGCACTCATTATCCTACGCCGAGCCTACCATTGCATGGCCGGTGACCATTGGCGGGTGTGTTTATGGGTTTGGGCCTGCTGGCGGCGACTAAATTTGCAGCTGGCAAAGCCGACGTGCGTGTCTTATTATGCGCAGTCCAGCCATTGCGTTGCGTTCGATGTTTGGTCGTTTCGTTTGTGGTTGTCTGACTTTGTTTGATTTGCCTTGAATGCTGCCAACATTTGAACCAGGCAGGCACTTGCTGCAGGGGCCGGTGGAGCGCCGGGTGCCGTCCACCGTCGATGTCATTGGCTTGACATGGACCAACTGGCCACATCCGAGCTCTGCCATGTGCCTCAATGCTGCCAGGCGCTGCATGTGCTTACTCCGTCCTCCTGCCCACCCCATATCACTCCAACCGCATGCCATCTTGCTCTCATGAACAGTAAAATACTGCTCATGACGCAGGATGCAATATACCCGAAATAAGGGCTCATTCTCCTGCGAACGCAACGATTTCGTCCCTGAATTCTTGATACGGCGACGGCCTACCTCAGAACGAGGTCACAAGGGGTGCCTAAGGCCACACCCCGGCCCTTCTCCGGTGGTTTTTGAGACCGACACCCGAACTCAAAGTTCCGTGTCTCGTTGATGTCGATCCAGCCAGCTTGGTGTCTCCTCCAGCAGGCCAACTTTTGCAGGTACTAGTATCAGCCCAGACGTAGCCCCTCAAGCGAGACGCGGTCCGTCAGGACAGTACCAAACACCAGAGGCATTGTTGCTAACTGCGAGGTAGCAGCTAGATAGTTCCAGAGTGCCGCCGGCTAGCATTGGCGATAATTACTTGTTCAATGGCGTAATGATACGATTTATTCTTGGTACTTCATATCTCGGTCACGACATAGATACAATTCTGTCGACTGGCCCCTCTGTTGATACAACGCATTATTACTTCCCGTGTCTACCAATCTAGGGCCGATTCAGTGCCACGGACTCGACCGCGACATTAATGGAGCATCTTGCTGGTGGCTCTTGCGGACCCGACGGGTCGTACCTCTCCACACTGGTGACGCCGGTCTTCTCTTTGCGTGCACTAAATATGTTATGGGTCGACCCGATCCTAAACAACAACACAGATGCACGTAGTATTACAAGGGCACTGAGGATTCCGAGTGATTCGGACTGCAATAATACCAATACTTGCGCTGGGAAGCAATGTCACCACAGTGCTATAATGTTCCCGAGCTCACTCCTTGCCTCCGCTACCGTTGATATCGCTGCCTATCGTCATCCAATCACATGATCACGCCTTTACTAGAACAACATGATTGCCTTTTATAACTTAGTTGTGGAAGGGAATCCTCACCTCAAAAGATGCGAAAGTTAGATCAAACACGGTTGATATTTGATTGTCACCCTCGTCATAGTTTGATGTCTTCCCTTGAGGACTGCGTGCTTCGGCTTGTATGCCAGGTCACTGTTGATAGTTCGCACGACGACAAGCAACGGCCCGGCAATGTACACCCGCTCCAGTAGTTTTTTCGATTCCACGCCGTGCATATCTGGTGCTTTAACATGGCCATGGTCCAGAATCTCCTTGGCATGAAGCACGCATGTAACGGCAGAACATGGGATCGCGTGCGTTGCAGATGCAACCTTATCAGCCAGCTCCACGGATAATGTTCGCTGGTGCGCAGGCACGCTCTCCCTCGCAAATTCGGGGGGGGGAACGTATTAAAAGGGGGAAGCAATTACACCCACTCGCAGGTTCTATTATTAGGCGTCATAAATCCAGTTATTCGAACCAAAAAGACAAATGTGCAACTTGATCATGTCGTTTGCAATCAAGTACTCGATCCGTGGATGACTTTTCCACTCCCATGTCTGAAACCCTATGTACATAACTTGCCAGATAGACGTGTAGAGCAACTGAGTAGACTTTCTCGGTAAATTCATCCGGGCATACAAGCCTTTAAATCATGGAATGAGGCTCAGCTGAAGCGAACTAGCCTGTTACAACAGGACTACTACCAGCAGTGATTGGTAGTGTTGACAAGGTTGGCCGGCACTCTGCCGAGGACGGATGATCCGACAGTGTAAAAATGACTAGAATAGCCAAGTAAATGAATGAATCAAAAGTGCCGCCCAGTGGCAATGTTCCCTGGGGCAGGAATGGAGAAGTCGAGTCGACAACGGCCAGACATCGGCGCAAGTCCAGACAGGAGGTCGTACCGCCGAATGGTATCTGAAAAAGGAAACATAAGGTCAAATGGTGTTCAACCGGTGTGAATGGGTGGGAGGCGAGGGAACGGCAAGTTGGGAGTCTGATAGCCACATGTATTAAGTGCATTACCTGACACAGCATGCATCCTTGCCCGTGACGACGCTTCTGTATCATCTGGCCGGTACATTACTACATTGTACATACATACGGAGTACGTGCGGACGTAAAACAGATGTCCACGGACGATTTGGGTGCTTGGCAGAAGCCGGGCCGGCCGGTGTCATGCTCGGCGGTTCTGTGATGCCCAGTAGAAAAGGCCCCATTCTTTCGTTCAAAGCACTCGGTCAATATGTACTATTCGGCGGCTCTCGTTATCGGGACCCAGCGCCCATGGACGGGTGGGGTCTCGAATTCATTCCGAGATAAGGTTGGTACTCCCATCTTGGGCCATGAAGAGTCGACTCGGCCGTTATTGCGACGCAATGGGGCCTGATGGATACTTGGGTACCAACGTGAACGATAGGGGGTCAAGTCGCGTTTTCTTTGCCGTTATGCCCCGTGGTCGGCACAATACATACTGCAGCACATGCAGATACTTTGGCAGTACTTGGTTAGATAGTATACGCGGCGCATTTAGTATGATCGGGAGGTACCAGGTAAGTAGATAGATACCTTGGTCTGTACCCCCCATGTGCCTGCCCGACTTTCTGATACCTCTCCACCGGCAAGTCGGTCCGGTTGCGAACTCGGCACCATCCAAAAGCTGGGGGCCTTGGAACATGGCACTGGCGTCAGTTGACCGGATTTGGCCAGGTGCAATGGTTGATATTTGATATGATACTGAAGGGAGAGCTGCATTTTTACTGTAGTATGACAGGGTAGGCGCTCAGTGCCCTTCTCGGAGCGTGTGGTGGTCCGGCCAATGGGGGTATATGTCTACATATGTAGTCAGTCCTCTTGCGTGCCTGGGCAATTGCAAGGCGGGCTTGTCATGCAGACCACATGCACGTGTTGGGCTGCCCGGAGGTATGTCCTGGCTGGTGTTTCAGACTCAAATACTCGAAAATGAATAACTGAGAAGAACATTGAACGGGAAAGAGCGATTTCCTTGAACCCGCAGAACTGGCCCGGTGGCCTGGTGGGCTTGGGTTTACAGGATCGCCACGGGTGAAAACTTGCTGCGCGGATTGCTGCATGTGCTCTACTGTTTGGATGAGGGATGATAGTCAAGTACCTAGGTAGGTAGTGCCTGGTTCGATTGTGGCTTTCGGGAGGCTCGTGCGCGCTGGCATTTAAATTGCATGTCCTTGACACTATTCCAAGCAATGCAGGTACGTCGGCCAGTGCTCGAGTGATGGATGTGAAAGAACACGCAGCTCGGGTTAAATAGGATGCACAACTACGATATGCACGACAAATACCATAGAACCATACAATGCGCCGTTGGAGTACAATATATAGTACTTACCAAACATCGTATACCTTAGGCACCTGACATCCGGTGCACATTTTCCCCGCATAATGCCCGTCCCAGAGGGTCCAGGGTAGCAAACAACAGCACTTGCCTCTGATATTATTTCCATCATCGTTCCTCATCGCCTTCTTGTTGTTCACTTGTTTCGCGGGTAGGTGTATGCTGTGAAATAACGCACACACGCGGGATAACAAGCAGTCCTCACTCTCCAGCTTCAACTCTCACTTACTCCAACATGGACACACGACGCTCCAATCACGTCAACCGTAGGCATGCTGGCACTTGACTCGTTGCCCCCCGTTGAGCCTGTCATCGTCGTCGAGTCTTCGATTTGCTGGTCTCCCTTGGCACCCTTCAATGACATGTTGCTACCGACCCCTCAATTTCTATTCTTGGCCAGCAATAGTCTATCTTAGTGCGCGGCCCTGTACCATACCGGACTGGACGTATGTAATGAGTACGTACCAGGTGCGATGAGGAGCTATTTAAAAAAAAAAAAAAAAAACCAAACCAGCCGACTGTCAGTCACCATGATGTTTCCCCGCAGCAGTCGACAGCAGGCAGTAACGACTCCAACGAGTAGCAAGCTGCAAGCACTTGACTGACCGTCTCATTCCGCCACCCTCGTCCATGTCAACGGCTCAGCTGCTCGTCTTGCCACAACGGTTCAAGGCTGCTTTCCAGGTTGCCAGGTTCGTTTTGGCTGGACGGAGAAGATCCGCGTGCCGTGTATTCTCAAACGTCTAATCCCCCACACGATCCAAGCAAGCTTCAAGCTCCAAGCTCTCGGCTAGCTCAGTCGGCCCGCGAGCTTCACCTCTGTTTCTGTCCTCTGCCTCTGCGTCTGCGTCGGATTCTGCTCTGCGTCTGCGTCTGATTCCGGCCCCGACATATCCGCTCACGTCATGTCCATGTCATCAACGCCGCCATCTCGCCCCTGATCCAGGAACTAGTCCCGACTCCATCGCCGGGAGCCAGCTGAACATCACCACGCCGTATGCCCTACATCCACGATGGAGCCATCACCGGAGCCTCCTCGGTCAGCCATGGAGTCTGCCTCTGCGTCGGCCTGTGCGTCGGCCTCGACATATGCGACCACGGTCGACGCGCCGCCTGAATCCTCTATCGCCACGGCTCATCTGGCACGCTTTGAATTTAGCGACTTGGGCACCAAGATCCTCATGGTTGAGTGGCATCCCGGTGCCGCCGCCGCCGCCTCCTCATCGCCCTCCGCGCACTCGTCCACTGGTGCTGATCATAATACTGAAACCGATACTACTGTTGCTGCTGATGCTAACCCCACTACCGGCGGCACTCTCGCCGTCACACATGCACCCTCCACACCCTTGGCCCCTAAGCCTGCTCCAAACACAGATGCCGCTCCCATACCCGGTGCCCAGGCTATCAAGAACCGTGATTCAGTTTCGGCTGCAGATGCCACTGTCTGGGAAGTTTCCTGGCCAGGAAAGTCGACGTTTCTTCCGGCCAGAGACACCGACCAAGATGAAGTGGGGACTCGCCGCCGTGTGTACTTCCTCCTGCCACCAGAAGCATCTATTCCCACAAACGTCACGATCACGCCCCCAGGTCAACCGAGCATCCTGGTCAAACCTCTCCCTGCCATTTTCCCTCCTGGATTCAATGTTGAGTCTGGCACTCGCGGCGTCTTGCATACACTATGGGCAAAGAAGCGCTTGTCGGAGCTCCAGTGCGAGATGGATGCTGAGATGCGAGCTAACGCGGAAAGTGTTGGCTTAGAAATGGCTCTGACTGAGAAGCAATGGATCATTGACAATTTTCTTCCTCCTCCATCCTCACCCGCACCTATGTCTCCTAGGTCGTCTGTCCCCGGCCGGCTGGGAGATAAGCTTAAAGGGCTTCGGCTGGCTACTTCGCCTGAAGATCTAATGCCCAGTGCCACAGGTGAGTGTAATTCCACGTCCCCATATCAATACTTGGGAAACGCGATTAGTTGTTGACATGTGGCCACAGCAAACACGTTTACCGGTGCCGACGTTCCGTCACAAACATTATCGCCATCGGGCGGTGATATTGCTGTATCTTCATTCTCCGCCATTTCTCGTGGCAACGGCCTCACACAAGCCATGTCATTAAACGCGGCCATACAGGGGGACACGCCAGCAATTGATCTGAGCTCTCGTGACGACGACGACGATCTGTTCGCCCTTCCGCTTAGTCCGCGGAGCCCCGAAATGAAAAGGAGCCCATTCAGTGCTCTTTCATGATTGTAAAACCTCGAATTTCGCACAACTTTCGGTGGCTTTTATGATGTGGTTTACTTTTGTCACTTGAACTTGCACATGATACCCATTGATCGCAAGCAATAACAAAAAAAAGAAGAAAAAAAGAAGGAGGAGAAAGAGCAGTTGGCTGGCATGTCGGATACCCTTGTCGTGCCTATCTAAGACTTTCCTCTGGATTGACCCAGATTTTGTTTTGGAGGAGGGACCGAGTAGCGCGTATAACACATAGAGAAGCCCTTAATATTAGCATTGCCAGATAGTTACCCTCACTCTTTAATGGTTTTACAATAGCCTCGACTGGCAAGAGAAGCACCGCAAACATGACGCACATCTAAATATATGTATAGAACGTGAGGAGCAGTGACAAGACGAATCCCGATACAGATCTTTGTGTGAAATTATAAAGGTCATGTAGCATATGTATCCCACCACGCCCAAGGAGAACAGTGTCAATGCCAACCATGCCCTTTGCACAAAATAGCGCCATGGGTTTCCGTTCATTCTCAGCCGCAGATGTAAACATCAACAATTTGTACAAGTTGCCCCTTGAGCTTACATTTTCAGAGAGCCCCCGATGATCCAAAAATATACACGCGTCGCAGCCTCCACGTCCACCCAGCATGTCTAAAGAAGAAGAAAAGGAAAAACAATAAGTCATCAAATCGTAAGCATTAATCGTCGTCGCCGTGGCAATCACCGCCATCCGCCCACCCTCCCCTCATCCCACCTCTCCTTCCTCTCCTGCCTCAAATAACACAGCACCTTTGCCTCCCTGTACCGCCGGATCCACTCCGTCAGCTCCCTCTCCGACGCGGGCACGCCGTCGACGCCCGCGCCGCCGCCCTCGAGGAAGCTCTCCTCCATGGCCTGGCACACGAGCGCCTGCTCCTGCACCCCCTGCGCCAGCTGCTGGTACAGCGAGGCCGGGGAAAACGGGGCCAGCGCGTGGTCCATGTCGGACTGCTTCTGGCGCCACTGCCGCTCGAGGGCGTGCGTCGCCAGCAGCTGCGCCTGCGTCGTGGAGCGCTGGTGCGCGAGCCGCGCCTCGGCGCTGCGCAGCTGCTTCGCCAGCTGGGTGTTTTGGTCCAGCGCCGCCGAGAGGTTCGCGTGCGACGTCTTGGTGCTGTCGTGCGACGAGGTGGGCGCGTGGGCTAGGGCGTTGAGCAGCACGGGGTTGGCGAGGATATCTGCCAGGTCTTGCGTTCTGAGGGGGGATTCCTCCTTTTAGCATGGAGGCAGTAGCGGTTTTGCGGTCTGGGGGGGAGGGGGCAACACGTACGACTTGTCTCTTAGTATTTCGGGGAGCCAGCCGTCGCCCGGGTCGGGGATCGGCTCGGAGACTGTCAGTGGGGGAGGCGTTGAGGCCGCAGAGACAATTTGGCCGTCGTTTGGGAGCGGTCGAGGTAGGAAGGGCGCGGGAGGTGGTGACGAGCTTGTGGTGGGAGTGCTGATGCTGCTGACGTCGTGGCTGCCGCCTTTGGGGGGCGGCGCGGGGGGCGTCGAGCTGTGCAGCTCTGGTGTGAAGCTGGACATTGTGTGTTATGATGCCGTTTTCCTCCCTTTTTTCCCCCGCTGTGATGTGAGTCGGGATGTGTTCCTGGAGGTGTAGTTGAATTAAAGCTGGGAGAGAGGCGCATCGAGCTGCGTGGCGTTGGTGGGGCGGCGACAAACAACCGCAAGGACATTACATTGTGGGGATCCAGAAATCGGAAACCAGGCTGCACATGTCGCAATAGTACCTGACCTATAATTATTTACCCAAGGTACCCATGCGATGAACATGAGATCTTGGTAAACTACACGGTTTACATTACTCCTGCACTAAAACACTAGCCCAATTACAATTCTACTCCGCGTTTCCTGATCTTGTTGCAGGTTATCCTGACTTAGTGTAAAATATGTGCTCTGCACGCCTCAAAAACCTTTAAAACACCGTGGTACTTTCGCAAATGACCCAACTGTCTTTCTTCACTTAGTTTCTGATGGACCACAGATCTCTTGACCACCCCATATATCGTAGCTCCTTGCTGGCCGAGCCCACGGGCCTCTTGCTATCCCCCGTTGCAATAGCTAGTGCCTTGCTGCACGCTGTAAATGCCTCCACGAGTTCCGTCATTCGCCCGGCACTCACAAACGCATCCGCTAGGTCAGAGTTACGTTCTGCAATGACGGAAGCCAATTCCATGCACTCCAGGAGGTGATCGCGTGTCAGACCAGTTCCCGCAAAGTGTAGCGCGCTGACGTATGCCAGGATAGTCTCCGGTAGGTATGCTTGTCTGAGCCTTTTAAGCTCATTGTCGCCGGCTGTAGGGTACAGTTAGCAATCTTGTTAACAAGCATGCGACGGAAGGCGGTTCCCCAGCTAGACATACCTTCAATGCCAGATAAGAGCCAGTTGTGCAACAAGTGCTGCATGTTGTCCTTGGTCGCGTCAATTGTCGCACCCACGCCGTTCCAGAATTCCCGGTTGGATGCATCAGCACTGATATGTGTGTTAGCATTTCCATGTTCTTGCCGTGGGATTAACAAATGCCAACGTACTCCCTAGATATCACAACGAGCGATGCCATAGTCTCGAGGCTGTCGAGCGCCTTAACAAGAGCCTCGAGTTCTCGGTAGTTCCGCGCGTCAGCCATCACCTGCTCTGGCCGTACATTTTCGATACCACTCAGCTGCAGCTGTTGAACCCAGAAGTTGATGTCGTCATACATGGCGACATCCCCCTCGTCCTGATCCGTCATGCCTCGCATAACTTCGCTATAAGAAACCTTCTGCATCAGTCTTCGCGCTGCGTTAAGCCGGCAGTTCCCTGTTGTAGGCCGTTAGCACCTTGCATATACAATCAACGAGTTCGGAGATGCCGGCCTGCAGCTGCATACTAAGGAAGAATTTGTACACTCTTGTGCCAATAGAAAATACCTGGGGCCAGGTTTCGCTGACCGTCAGAAGCCACTCTAGAGATCGGATGACATGAACATCTTTGATGTCAACCTTGTCCTCCTCCTCCCCAAAGAAGTCGGGTTTGATGGGCCTGCCATGTCGAGCAGTTGCTGGGCCATCACCTAAAATGTTAAACAATTTTTCGGCAGCAAACGAGGTTGCATCGTGATCCAGCTCATCAAATAATAGGGTCGCCTGCCTCTCCACGAACGCTAATACGTCTATTCCAGCGCGCTTGATGAGTTTGAGTTGCGTTATGCGATTGTTTGCGTCGGGTTCTTCAATGACATTCCAAGCAAGAACTTCGTAAGATCGAGGGCTGTCCAAGACCGAGCAGTAGAGTGGAATTAGCTCCTGGAGCTTGCATCGTCTTAGGTAGTCTGTGTAACTAGCAAGGATATTCTCCTGGATGAATCGTTTGTCTGGGGGGAACCCAGGCTCCATCCAACTGTGGCGATGGCCTTCGAACCGTTTTAATAGGGCGATGAGGACGAATACGTGAGCGACAATTCGTAATCCGCTGTGCTGTGAAAAATCGAAATACTTCCCCTCTACAACACCATCAGCGGCTGCAAGACCCCTGCGAACAAGACGAGATTTTTCAAACTCATTTGCTCGTCGGGTCAGCACCTGTCCTTGTTCAAAGAGATGACGTTCTAATTCCTTCGCAATGAACGACGCCTGGAGGGCCTTGTTGGGCTCTCTAGCTTGCGCCTCCATGTTTGGTCTTGATTCAATAGAGTTGATGAGTCGTTTCTCAATGCCCTCCTGGTTACCGTGGAACTGCACTGCATCAAATGATGGGAACGATTGTGTCATGCTTGAGGCTACATCAGATGGGCACTGAGATAGCATGTATGCGTCGATTTGTGATCGAAGAAGGGCGTTATAGTTGGCAAAAAGGTAATCGTCCCACGTCTTTGCTACCTTTTCCACACTCAAGATGTCTCCTGACAGCACTCCGTACACAGCCCGCTCGTCATCAGAGGAGCCTCCTTGTCTTGCCAATGCAAAGCACATTCTTCGCCATAGTGCCAAGGCTGACGGGTCAATATTCGATGCGGGACTCTGGTTGTCGTCAACAGACAGTGGCATGGCGGACATTGAGACTGCCCTCCACAACTCCGTCCGCTCTTGGCACCACTCACGTATATCTTTCAGGCTGCTACCTCGTCGCAAATGCTTGAAGCACCCAAGCCATATAGCGCGCTCAAAGAATTCATCTTGAGGTTCTAGCTTGCGGCGCTGTCGGGTGGAGGCATCAGGGTCGAGATGTGTAACTAGCGGTGCGCCGTCCGCGTTAAGATGGGATGCTGTCACGTTGGGCGACTGACGATCTAACAAATGTGGCCATGCTGTCATGCTCTTCCTGAGCTTTATTTTAGATCGTGTGTGAAGCCAGCCGTGGGCAATTATGTCCCCTCTATCCGCATCTTGCTGAAGTTTTCGGGCTAGGTCGTCGATGTCTGGCCCAGAGGCAGAATTGGTTTGCAGCCATTGAAGAACAGCACGGCGCTCCAAGGCAATGCCGTCAGTTGTGAGGTACTCGCTCACATAGTCTCGCCCTGCCGGTTTCGCGGCCAAAAATGGAGAAAATCGCATCGACTCATCATTGGAATCCGAATATCGCAAAGGAAGAAGCCGCCGAAAGAGGTCCCACGTTTCAACCTCCTTTTCCAGCTGCTTTACATCGTCCGAGTTCTCCGTTTTGCCTCCATTGCTCAATCGCTCATCCACGTCCATGTCCATGTCCTCGCTGCCGCCTCGTGCACTCTTGGGTCGCTTCTGTGCTAACCGGCGGATCGCATTCTCGTGGTACTTGCGTGGGAGGTCTAAAACACGAGACTTTTTCTCTTGCACGCTGAGGCCTGGCATTAAGCAAGCATCCAAAGCGTTAGCAAAATCTTCGACCTCTGGCCCAGGGTTTACAACACCCGTCTGCTGTTGCTGTTGTCTCTTGTCCGGGTCCATCTTGTTCGCGACAGGCAGTTGGTTCTCCACTGTATATGGAACTGAGTCGGAAAACAGAACAATCTGTACAA